TGGGACTAGAACTCACCGTCTCCTGGGGATTGGGCCAAAGTCATCCAGCCAGCTTTCGTGCCTGAAGGCAGAACTAGAACTCGTAGCCTCCCGATGATTGACGCAAAGTCACCCAGAAGGCATTCATACCATTTTTCCCAGACCGTATAATATTCTTTTTCTTCCTTCTCCTGCAATTCCATTGTAAGTTTATTCATTTCTGCACAATCCATAATTTATAATCATATCATCCACGAGTCCGTGAGTCTTAAAGTGGCTGTCAGTTGGACCCCCCCCTGCACTTATAGCCCACTGTCTGTCTCTCTCTCTCTCCTTTATTTCTTTGTTTATTAAATTTATATGCCGCTCGTTTTAAGGAGGGAAGGGAAGCACGAATCTTTTCTGGTTGAATGACGGCCTTCCTTCTTTTCCCCCCAGCAATTTTCTACCCTCCTGGAGGTGCTTTTCCAATTCCTGCAAGAACCCAAAGAGGTAACCCACTTTGGGGAAGGGGGAGACGGGGAGAGGGGAGGGCAAGGAATCCAAAAAGGGGGGTTGGTTGCCCCCCCACCCCACTTGGATGAAGACCAGCTGGTTTTTTTTTCTGGTGCGAATGAAGGCAGTTTATGGGCAACGTGGAAAATATTTCTTCTATATCACAAAGTTTTCAATAATAGCATTATAGGTAGTCCTCGACTTACGACCACAATTGGGAGCGGAATTTCAGAGTGTGTGTGTGTGTGTGTGTGGGCGCGCGTTTGTGTGCATACACACACACAAAATACTTACATATCTATATATTATATACACATATATAGCAAGGAGCCTGGGCGTGGCTTAGCTCAACTGTTCTGCGCTAAAGCTGCTTGGTGGTCTGAAACGGAAACTAAAACTGAAACTAAACGGAAACTCCTCTGCTTGTGTTTTGCATCAGAGCATGTTAATAATAATAATAATAATAAATAATAATATAATAATAATAATAACAATAATAATAATAATAATAATATAGGAAATACTCTAAATGCCCTGATGGTCATTTTGAAAAATCCTTTCTTAGTGAGCCCCTAGAAGCCATGAGGGACATACAGGCCAAATTTCAAGTTTATAGGCTTTGCGGTTCTGGAGATTTTGTGATGATGTGTGAGGGGTCTTTCGCTTTTGTATATATAATACACACACACACACACACACACACACATTTCTGCTTTTGCAGCCTTTTCACAAAGTCAATGGGGAAGCCACATTCAGTGGTACTAATTTTACAACTGCAGTGATTCACTTAGCAACAGTGGCAAAAAAAAGCCCGTAAAACGGGACAGGAGTTCCTTAACAAGTATCTCGCTTAGCAGCAGAATTTGGGGCCAAATTGTGGTCGTAAGCCGAGGCGTCCCTTGGGTGCTCAGTTCTGCTGGCCTTTTTCCTTCCTCCCCCTTTTCCGAATTGCCTGGAGGGCAACGAGATTTGGAAAGAGGTCTCAAAGGGATCCTGCTGGGAAAACCCATCGACAGCTATGGGGCTTCCTCTGAGGAGATACCCATGGAGTTGAGCTGAGCAGGGGCAGCTTCTCCCTCTGAGACTCACTTATGTACTGTTCTGACCCGGGCTTCCCAAACCCACGAAGCCGATTCCTCGTCCCGACAAAACCCCTTTTATTTAGGCTCATGTGAATTCCTCTCATTCGCATCCAGCAAAGTCCTGGCAAACAGTCTTTCAAGGGTGAATTTACAACCACAGACCTTTATCGGGCTTGGAGAGTTGCCAGGCCGGTAGCTTCCAAACGCCACGCTGTAGCAGCGATGACTTAGCAAGGAGTCAGGAACAAATCTTCACCCTCATGAATTGAACTAATTGTCTCCTGCAAATCCCACTCCCCTTTTGCTTCTCTTTATTCCCTATGGGGAATGAGCCTTTACTCCTGAGTCGACCCTTGTTCCTTAGTTGTTCCCTTCATCTGGCAGCTCTGTGCATGAGCACACTAGGGACAGGCTCCAGCTGTTCTTTTTCCCCACTGATCTCCTACTCCAAAGACAGCTGATAACTGTCGTACGGCCCTGGCCCCATCTCTGCCTCCGAGGCAGAGCCCTCGTCAGAGCCTTCTCCAGACTCCGGGATTGGCCTGTGTTCCTCTCCAACCTCCTCACTGTCCACGTCTACGGCCAGCTCCGGTGGCCATGGAGGGCCACAACATGCACGTGTGCAAGGGAAGTGTGAAACTTGGAGCAAAACACGTCTTTGCTTTTGTGCCTGACAGGTGGAGAGGTTCCTGGCTAGCCTGTCGGAGTTTGCAACGGGGAATAAAATCAGCCTCGGCCCTTTGAAGAGCATCGTCAAAAGTCTCTTGCTGGTACCCAGTGGTGAGTGTGGAGCAGACACCCCCCTCCCCAGGTCTGTGGTAGGTCAGGTGGGGCGGAGAACCACTTTGGGAGCCACTTTGGGTGAAGGCACCAGCTAGAAACACAGAGAAGACGGAGTTCTAGTTTTTCCTTAGGCATGAAAGCCAGGTGGGTGACTTTGGGCCAAACACCAGGAGACTGGGAGTTCTAGTCCCCCCTTAAGCATGAAAGCTGGCTGGGTGACAGGGTGAAATAATGAGTTCTAGTCCCACCTTATCCATGAAAGCCAGCTGGGTGACTTTGGACCAATCCCTAGGAGACTGGGAGTTCTAGTCCTGCTTTAGGCACAGCCAGCTGTGTGACTTTGGACCAATCACCAGGAGACAGTGAATTCTAGTCCCATTTTACCCATATCTATCTATCCATCTATCTAACATCTCTCTCTCATCTATCTATCTATCTATCTATCTATCTATCTATCTATCTATCTATCTATCTATCTATCTATCCATCTATCCATCTATCCATCTAACCTCTCTCTCTCTCATCTATCTATCTATCTATCTATCTATCTATCTATCTATTTATCTATCTAATTTCTACATTGCCAATCACTCTTAACCAACTGAGCAGTTCAACAATCCACATTATAAAGTAATTTAAAATGGTACTAAAAATCACAGTTTACTTTACAAAATACGGTTTTGACAAGCCTAAAGTAAAAATCAAAGATAAAACGTTTACAAGGCTAAAATTGAATTAAGTGAACTCAGGATTGTTTTTCTGAGTGACAGCACACCAATGGTGCATAAGTCCTGTTCTTTCCACTGATATTCAGAAGGCGTCATGAAATTCTGATTATAATGGGATTTCTTTCCCTCCAGTACAATCTCTCCGACATAAGAAGAAGCAAACAGTCTTGCTGCTAAGAAATAGACAGCTGATAGGAGGCTAAGAAGAAGAAATAATGATTACTATAGATAAGAATATTGATCGAAGAGGATATTTGTAGCCCAGGGTTGAACTGTGGGGTCCTTGGTGGTCTCTGAGCTTGGTAGTTTTCTTGTTGACATTTCATGACCCAACTAGGTGATATCATCAGTGTTAGAAGGAGGGTTTGCTCTCTTGTTTATATACAAATGTCTTTTGTTGTCAGTGATGATGGAAACGGTTTTTTCTTGGTGGTTCCTTGATTCAATTGTTTGCTGTTTGCTTGTTTGTCTGAGTTGGTAATTCCTTGATTGGGGTATTGTTTATTGCTGTAAAGTAAAATAAAAATAAAATAGAAACATTAAATTAAAAAAAGAAATAAGCCAGTTTTGGAGTGGATTGCAAGCATCCTGAATGGCTGGAATTTAGCTTTCTTGTTTCAATTGATTTAGTTTTATACTTTCAATATGATTTTATATGTCTTTCCATGTTTAATTGGGACTCATCCAGAGTTCTTTGAAAGATAGACAGCTATATAAACATTGGAAGTAAATTAAAATAAAAAGAGATATAACCAAATAAAAAATAGCAATGAAACAAAATATAGCGTACAATGAAATAATAATTAAGTAAAGATAAAATAAAAAGTAGCAATGAAATAAAATATAAGATAATCTTCAGATTTCTTTGAAAGATGGGCAGCTATATAAATGCTTTAAATAAAATAACATAAATAGAAATCAAATAATATCAAATAAAAAATAGAAATCAAAATCAAATAGCATAATAAAGTAAAATAAAAAAAAGAAATAAAACAAAACGAACTCCAAATAATAAAACAAAAATGAAACAAAACAAACTTCAAATAATAAAACAAAAAATAGAAACAGAACAAAATAAACTTCAAATAAGAAAACAAAAAAAAAATAGAAACAAAATAAAATTGTAAAAAATTGGGGTGCAAATTTGCAAGCACCCCAATGGCTCAAGTTAGTTTTTGCTTGGTTTTTTTCCCCCATAAATCACCTCTGCGGTCATAGAGGTCAGTCCCTGCCTTATCTTTCATTTGTGTGTTTGTCAGCTGGGCTCCCTTTTTTTTTTCACAATGTTTATTCCAGGTGCCTTAAAGAGGAGCCTGACTGCAGAACAAGTCGGAGCAGATCTTATCACCCTGGGTAGGTCTCTCTTTAAGTTCTCTGTCTGAAGGGCTCCTGGGCTTTATTGCTCCAGTTGACCGTCTTCAATTTCTCCTGCAGGGCTGAGCGATGACAAGGCCAGGTATTTTGAAGAACAGGTAAGCGCTTTCATCCAGGGGCCAGGATCAACACTGGCATTTTAAACCACCCCGCCACAACACTGCAGAGGGAATCCAAGTCTTTTTTTTACAAACTTGGAACCTTAGTTTTTTTTTTCCCCTATTTTCTTGCTGTAAAAAGGAGTATCTGTAAATGTGGGTTCTCCTTGGAAAATTCCTAGGTAGTTTTAGAAGGCCGTGTGTCTCTCAACTTTGACCACTTTAAGAACTTTAAAACATGCTGGCTGGGGAATTCTGGGAGTCGAAGTCCATCCATCTTAAAACAGATAAGCTTGGAGAATTCTGGAACTGAAGCCCACCCCTCTTAAAAGTGGTTGAGGTTGAGAAACGTTATTCTAAGGTTTAAAAAAATCACGCAAGTCTGTGGGATCATTGCATGAACAATCACATTATGGTTATTTGGCAAGTTAATTTTTGGTTTGGTTCAATCAAAACAGTTGATTTAACTCTTTACTCTGTAGGTAAGTGCTGTAAACAAACCATCTTTACTTACTTTACTGTGTGAACACAGCCAGCAGGTTTCAATGGAAATTTGCCACGATATATATATAAAAAAATGTTGAGACTCTGGAAAGAAGTCAGAGAAGAGCAACCAAGATGATTTGGGGACTGGAGGCTAAAACATACAACAAACGGTTGCAGGAACTGGGCCTGGCTAGTCTAGTGAAGAGATGGACCGGGGAGACATGAGAGCAGTTTTCCAATATTTGAGGAGTTGCCCCAGAGAGGAGGAAGAAGTCAAACTATTTTCTAAAGCACCCGAAGGCCAGACAAGGAATAATGGAAACTGAAAAAAGAGAGATTCAACCTAGAAATAAGGAGGAATTTTCTGACATGGGGAACAGTTACCGTATTTCCCCATGTATAAGCACCCCCTTTGTATAAGCCACCCCCCCAATTTTTGGACTGTGAAGTTTTGAAAAAAATATTTTATTAGAGAAACAAGTTATGAAGAAAGAAAATTTACAAAGAAACAAAATTCGACGTCTAGATCTACAACTTCGGTCATGACGCCGAAAGCGGTGCGGGCGACGCTAGCAATCTACGCATCGGAACGAGAGTAGGAACGAAGCATTCAGGCCGATGCCTAGCGTATGCATTTCTATCGCGTACTCGCACTCGTAATCGTATCATCACGTACAATTTTTACAAAAAAGTATAGCATACTGCTGGAAAACCAGTTTATTCCTACTTTATTATTTTATGCATTTTTCACGTATAAAAAGTGTACCTGCTTTGTATATGCCACCCCCCTACTTTTTGGGCTTGAAAATTTTGGAAAAAAGGGGTGGCTTATAGATGGGGAAATACGGTAATCAGTGGAATGACTTGCCACCAGAAGTCGTGAATGGTCCATCGCTGGAAGTTTTTAAGAAGAGATTGAACAGCTGTTTGTCTGAAAGGGTGTAGCGTTTCCTACTTGAGCAGGAGGTTGGACTAGAAGACCTCCAGGGTCCCTTCCAACTCTGTTACTCTGTTCTGAAATTGTGCCTGCGATTGCAGTGATGGTGAATTCACTTATTCGGATAAAACCAAAATATAAAACTTAGTCCCAGCTGTTCCTCGGCTTCAGGGAAACTCCCTTTGCATTCTTGAAACCCAGAAGTCTCCAAACTTGTGGCAACTTAAAAAGTTTCTGGGCGTTGAAATCCACAAGTCTTAAAAGTCGCCAGGTTTGGGGGCCCCTGTTCAAACTCCATGAAGTGGAACCCCGTATTAAAACCATCGCTTATTCCACCCTTGTCTTTTTGCCATCGTCCCAGTGGAAGGAAAATTATCCCGCCCTCTCGCGCCTGGCTGTGGGGCAGACGCTGACGGTTAACCAGCTAATAGACATGGAGTGGAAATTTGGAGGTCAGTTCTTTTCTGGGGTTGGGGTGCGGGCAGAGTGGGGTGGCCTTTGCCAATCCCATTGTATAAAATTTTGTTGCTGCTGTTTTTTTTCTCTCTCCTGAATAGTGACGGCCGGAAGCAGTGAGCTGGAGAAAGTAGGAAGCATTTTCCTCCAGGTAAGACGGTTTTGGGGAAGGGGGTGATGACCCAAAGGGGCGTGGCACAAAAGCAACGCAGTCAGATAATCAACAAGAGTCCCCTTATTAGCTCCAACTTTGCCCCCAGTGTCCTGGTTACCTTCTGGGCTGGAGAAAAACTCTCCCAGGAACAGCCTTTGGCTGCAGAGAATCCAGTCCAAAACGTGGTCAACCAAAACTGTAACTAAAAGTCCAATCAAGGCAAAATGAGGTAATTAGTCCGGCAGGGCAGAAGCAAGAATTCCAGACGTGAAGGAAGGGCGGTAATTCAACCTGGTTGGGAAGATGCCAGGACTGCAGATAAGCAAAGTCAATGCAAGATAAACTCAGGTTTGTTCCCAGAAGAAACTGCACTCTGCTTGCATCTCTTTTTAAATTCTCATTCCCAGGTGTGGCTAATGAAGGGAATCAGGGCCCTTTCCTCCACCATAAGCCAGGCAACCCACGTTGCTCCCTTCTCAGTTCCTCCCTGCGTGCCCTAGGATGAAGAGGGGATGGGCCTGGGTCTTCCTCTGAATTCCCCTCTCCCTTGTTCTACCTCTCACCTGCTCTGCCCAGCCGGACTTTGCCCTCCCCCAGTTTCCTCCTCAGCCAACGGAGCCACCCTCCCGCTCCCTGTCAGCTGTTCGTCTGCCTCCTCGGATTCAGACTCCGACAGGGGCCTGACAAAGGGACAGGTAGAACCAGGAGAGGCGGGGAAGAGAATCAGAAACAGCCCAGATCTCAGGCGAGGGGCCTGAGGAAGAAATAGAATAGAATAACAGAGTTGGACGGGACCTTGGAGGTCATCTAGTCCAACCCCCCCTGCCTATACCACTTCAGACAAACGGTCATCCAACATCTTTTTAAAAACTTCCAGTGTTGGAGAATACATACAGGTCGTCTTTGAGTTGTAACCGTTCCGTTTAGTGACCGAAGTTACACAACAGCACTTTAAAAAAAAGGAACTTTTTACATTTACGACCGTCGTAAGCATTCCCGTGGTCACGCCATCAGAATCCGGATGCCGATTTTTTTTTTCCTTCTTTATACCCAGGTAGTTCTCGACTTACAACTATTTGTTTTTGTGGCTGTTCGAAGTTGCAGCGGCACTGGGGGAATGTCTTTTTTTCACACTGAACAGTCGTGGGACGAACTTAACCACTGCAGAGGTTCGCTTAGTGACGGTGGCAAGAAAGGCTGTAAAAGGGGGCCAAAGGGACTTCACCACCACCTCGCTTAGCGGTGGAAATTTGGGGCGTGGGTTGTGGGTTGCAGATCAAGGACTATATAAGCTCTTTTCTGTCCATATTTTTCCCCAGATGGACAATTACTCGAACTCCCCTTCCCCGTATTCTAGCAAATACAGAATAAATTTTGGCTAGTCTAGAGGAAAGGAGGATTGTGGGGAAACATGATAGCAGTATCCCAATATTTGAGGGGCTGCCCCAAAGAAGAGGGAGTCCAGCTATTCTCCAAAGCCCCTGAAGGCAGGACAAGAAGCAACGGGTGGAAACTGATCAAGGAGAGATTCAACCTGGAACTAAGGAGAAACTACCTAACAGGGAGGACACTTAACCAGCGGAACTGCTTGCCACCAGAAGTTGTGTGTGCTCCATCCCTGGAGGTTTTCAAGAAGAGATTGGACAGCCATTGGTTTGAAATAGTATAGGATCTCCTGCTGGAGGCAGGGGGCTGGACTAGATGACCTTCAAGGCCCTTTCCAGCTCGATTCTGATTGTGATTCTGAAAGCTGGGAGAATCTTGAATTTCCACCCCCCCCCCCCCCTTGTATCTTCCAAGTATTCTCCAGTGGGAGATTCCAGGGGCTGCTTTTTGGGGGTGGGTGGGTTCTAACATCTGCCTCCTTTGCTGTTACTCACCCCACTTTTCATCTCCTTGTAGCTGAAGCTGGTCATTAAGAAAGGCAGCCGGCTGGAACCAGTATACCTAGGTGAGTAAGCCAACATCGTCCGTGGGGAAACGCTGAAAGTGAAGAGAGAGGGAGGCATTGAAGGGAGAGCCCAGCCAGCTGCCGAAAATGCAGATGTTCCTTGACTTACAACTTCTTCATTTGACGACCCTTGGCAATTACAACAGCAACAGGAGCGGCTGCTACCCGGTTCGCCCCGGTTGAGTCAAACCAGTAGCCAATGTTATCATTTTTAATCGCCGGTTCCATGAACCGGTAAATCCCACTCCTGGCTGGCTCCACCCACCCTACCCTTTCCCAGGAGACCCCCACGGGGTCCGTTTTGGATGCCAGGTAAGTAGAGCACCTGCACGGAGGCTGGGGAAGGGCCCATTTCTGGCCTCCGGAGCAGCGGTCGCCAACCAGTGGGCCAGAGACCACAGATGGTCTGTGAGAAAATTTGGGTGGTCCGTTGAGAAATGTCATCCCCCCCACCCCCACCCAAAGCAATTAATCCAGGTTGCGCCGCCCACAAGGCCCACGGGAACACAAGGCTTGTGTCGCTTGCATTGCGAACAACACGAGGGAGTGAGGGGAGCGGGGGAGGGCCAAGTGGCGCAAGCCTTGTGTTCCCGCGGGCCATGTGGGCGGTGTAGCCTTGTGTTCCCGCGCAGCCTGGATTATTTGCTTTGGGGGGGGTGATGTTTCTCTGCGGACCACCCAAATTTTCTCACGGTCCATCCGTGGTTGGCGACCACTGCTCCTAGTCCAAACCCCCGCTTAGGCAGGAGATCCTATACACCAGTGGTCCCCAACCTTTTTTGTGCCACGGCCCGGTACCGGCATCACAAAATGATCCGCGGCCCGGTACCAGCATCAGCACGCATGACAAGGCAAGGCGAGCCGAGCGACCGGCCAACTAGCCGTCCCCCGCTTCTCCCCGCCACCTTCAACTCCTTCTTTGTACCTTTGTCAATGGGCTTCGCTTCGGGACGGTTTCGGGACGGTCGTTTGGCTCGCCTTGCCTTGGGTGCTGAAAGAATCCTCGCGCCTTAGTTTTGTTCGAAGCCGCCCCCCCTTCGATGAAACTAAGGCGCCAGGATTCCTTCAGGACCCAAATGCCGCTTTCCAACCGGAAAAAGCTCACCTGGAAGCACTTTCTTGTCAAACAAGATGGCGGCGCCCAGCAAACCGGCAGCCCGGTAGGAAATGTTCCACGGACCGGTAGCGGTCCGCGGCCCGGTGGTTGGGGACCCCTGCTGTACACCATTTTGGACCAACTTTAGTAGCTAATCCTGATCGTTTTGGTGCTTCTCCTTCCAGAATTAACCCTGCCCCAGTTTTACAGCTTCCTTCACGAGATGGAAAGAATTAAGACCAGCCTGGAGAGCCTCGGCTGATTTCACTGCCCAACGGACTCTGCGGGACGTCTGGACCTCAGGACCAAGATTTCTCTGGCCCCCACCGTTTCTTCCTTCCGTTGGGAAAGGAAATGTGTGTGAAATGCAACCCATCCTGGATTTAGTGGACGAAATACAATTTCAGGGTGAAAATGGCTTGTCAAACCTGGCAGAGTCCCGCTTTGTCTCGAAGGACATGACGGGAATCGGTTGGGAAAACGAAATGGAAAATAAAAGTTTCTCCTATCCAACCAGGAAGTAGAAGCCCCTCGTTTGGCCCTGAACACGGTGCCAGCATGAAGATGAATGCCAATAAAGGGAAATGGGTGTCGCGCAGGGTTGAAATGAGGGGGTCCTTGGTGCTCTGAGCTCGGTTTTTTTTTCCTCCCTGCAGACGTTTCATGACCTGACTAGAGAACATCATCAGTGCTAGAAGGTTTGTGAGGGAGGACTATCAAATCCTTGGTACTCTCTGTACTTTGTTGTCTTTTTGTAAACGTTTCATGACCCAACTAGGTAACACCATCAATGTTAGAAGGGAATGAGGTCTGTGGGGAAGAGAAGGAGGGGGAGGAGGAGGAGGAGGAGATGATTGTAAGGTTCTTGGTACTCTCTATGCTTGATTGTCTTTTTGTAAACGTTTCATGACCCAACTAGGCAACATCAGTGCTAGAACCCTAACCCTGCCAAGAATGTAATGAGGGTTAATGGAGAGGCAGTTTCTGTAAGCAACACCAGAATGTTTCCTTCCTGCCTTCCTTACAGGATTAGCCCTGTAATTTCTTCTAACAACCGGTTCTCCCAACTGCTTAGAATATTAACAACCGGTTCTAGTGAATGAATAGGTGCAAACTGGTAGAATCCCGCCCCTGCCTATGGACTAGAGGAGGCATTCAGCAGGTTCTGACCAGTTCTGGAGAACCGGTAGCGGAAATTTTGAGTAGTTCGGAGAACCGGCAAATCCCGCCTCTGACTGGCCCTGCCAACCCCATTATTCTCCGCCTCCCAAGTCCCAGCTGGTTGAATACCACCACTACTATAGACAGAATTTTAAACCTAGACATAGAATCATAGGGCTGGGAGGGACCTTAGAGGTCTTCTAGTCCAATTACCCGTGGCAGAAGTTCTACCAGGTTTGTCTGGAGCAGAATTGATTCATTCTGGGGCGGAGCGTTTAGCCATGAAAGCCAGCTCCTGATGCCAATTACCAGGAGACGGTGAGTTCTAGTCCTGCCTTAGGCACAAAAGCCAGCTGGGTGACTTTGGGCCAATTACCAAGAGACGGCGAGTTCTAGTCCTATCTTAGGCACGAAAGCTGCAATCGAAGTCCTTCCCCTCTTCTACCTACATCATGTGTGCGTTGTCCCTGCACACACACACACACAGGCCTCCCATTGATGGCACAGGCCCATCAGATGTGACTGGAAGTTCCCAAAATATTACTGGAATAGTTTCAGAGATGAGAAAAACCACATCACCTCCCAGTTGTGATGCTTACACAACCCAGGTCTCTTGGTGATTGAACGAACCCATTTTCCCAAGTTTAGCCGGGACATCGTAAGATCATCTAAGAGGGCTCATTTGTACAGAGTGCTGAGACCCAGAAAAGCAAACCCAAGATACAGGAATCACTGTCTATAGAAATTCAGCTACTTGAATTTTTGTATATATATATGTATGTATGTATGCATATAGCTATTTATTTATTGGATTTATATGCCACCCATCTCATTCGGAGGCGTCTCCAAGCAGCCTACAAATTTTTTAGCTCAGATTTTAATATTATTTTCATATTGGTTTGTTTATTTTTTTTTAATTATTTCTACTTGTTTTTATAATTTGCAAGCCACCCAGAGACACCTTGTAGATGGACGGCATAGAAATTTAATAGAGGATGGATGGATGGATGGATGGATGGTTAGATGACAGATTAAAAGAGAGAATAGATAGATGAGAGAGAATAGATTGAGAAAGATAATAAAGTGAGAATAGAGAGACGGATGATCATGGGGAGGAAGAAAAATAGTTTTGAGAGAGAGAGACGAGAGAGAATAGATTGAGAAAGAGAGTGAGAATAGAGAGAAAGATAATAGATAATACCATAGATGGGAAGGAGAAAGAGAAAATTAGATATTTGAGAGAGAATAGATTGAGAAAAAGATATAATAGAGAGAGAGGATAGATAATATGGAAGGAGAAAGAGGAAAAATAATAGATGGAGAGAGAGAATAGATTGAGAGAGAATAGAGAGAGATGGTAGAAAGAAAAGGGGACAGAATCAAGAACACGTGAAGTGTTAATACCATTTTATAACGCCTTGGTAAGGCCACACTTGGAATTCGGCATTCCACTTCAATGTAAAAACAGATGTTGAGACTAGAAACTGCAGAAAACAGCAATAAAGAGGGTTGGAGGCCGAAACATGCAAAGAACGGTTACAGGAACTGGGTATGTCCACTTTAATTAAAAGAAGGACTAGGGGAGACATGCCAGCTGTGTTCCAATATCTCAGGGGCTGCCCTAGAGAAGAGGCAGTCAAGCCGTTCTCCAAAGCCCCTGAAGGCAGGACAAGAAGCAACGGGTGGAAACTCATCAAGGAGAGAAGCAACCTTGAACTAAGGAGACATTTCCAGATGGTGAGGACAATTCACCAGTGGAACTGCCTGCCACCAGAAGTTGTGGGTTCTCCGTCACTGGAGGTTTTTCAGAAGAGATTGGATAACCATTGGTCTGAAGTGATGTAGGGTTTCCTGCCTAGGCAGGGGGTTGGACTAGAAGACCTCCAAGGTCCCTTCCAACTCTGATACAATAGAGAGGTGATAGATCATATGTGGAGAGAGAATAATAGAGAAATTTTAGAAGGAATCAAGTGAGAAACTTTTAAAATATTTTGGGGGGATGCCATGTCCTCTGCAATCCTGTCGCGTCTCCTCAGAACCACAGAAGGGAAAGACGGTAAAAAAAAAAACCCAACTGAACAAGTAAGGGTCTCCTGCCTGAGCAGGGGTTGGACTAGAAGACCTCTTAAGGTCCCTCCCAACCCTTATTAT